TCCTCCTCTCCTTTCCCTTCTCTCCTTCCCCTTCCTCCCCTTTACCCTTCCCCTCTTCTTCCCATTCCTCCCCTCTGGAATATTTTATTGATCCACCTTGTCCAATGTTATCTATATCACAGATATAAATATATCTTAAAATGCAGAGGTAATATCATACAGAATAACTGAGTTGGAAGCGAACATGGAGGACTTCTAGTACAACCCACTGTACTGGTTTAGATAAATGGCTGCCTAATCTCTTCTTAAAAACCTCCAGTTTTGGAGCACCCACCACTTCTGAAGGCAAGCTGTTCCACTTGTCAATTTTTCTTACTGTCAGGAAATTCTCCTATCCTTGAGTAGTTTCCATCCATAGCTTCTTGTCCTGCCTTCTGGTACTTTGAAAAAATAGGTCGATCTACTTTCTTCTTTGTGTCCCCCAAATATTGGCACACTGCTATCATGTCACCCCTGGTCCTTCTTTTCACTAGACTGGACATCCAATTCCTGCAACCGTTCTTCATATGTTTTAGCCTTCAGTCCCGTCCCCTCCACCAATCATCTTTGTCGCTCTTCTCTGCACTCTTTCCAGAGTCTCAAAGTATTTTTTATATTGTGCTGACCAAAATTGGATGCCTATTCCCAGACTGTTTTCACTAAGGCATAAGTTATATTTATCATTATATTATCTAGATGGGCAGAAGTGGGATTCAGTCGGTTCAGACCGGTTTGGGTGAACCGGATGCTAATTTTACATCTGATTCACTGAACTGGTAGTTGCAAGGACAGGCTGGCCACACCCACCCTGCTTGGTCTCCCCCAGGAGTCTCCACACAGCCTGTTTTAAATGCCAGGTAATTGCAGGGCCCATGTGGAAGTTCCAGAAATCCAGAAATGGGCCTGTTTTTGCCCTCCTGGAGGCTCAAGGAAAGCCTCCAGAGCCTAGGGAGGGTGAAAACGCCCCTCTGCTGTAGTGCAGGGGGCCAAGTAGGCCACACCCACCATAGCCACGCCCACCTAGCAACTGGACAGAGAACCGGTTGCTAAAATTTTTGAATCCCACCGCTGTAGTTGGAGGTCTGCTTCTCAAGCAGGAGACCATATACCATTTCAGATGAAACATCTACAAGGAAATAACCAAGGAAAGAGAGCACCAAGAATGCCACACAGTGGCTTATATGTTACATGTCCACGCTGTCAAAGTTACTGAGAGTTATAATTAATATTATTTCTCTTCCTGCAGATATATAACATCTTTCCCTCGCTTGTGGAATACCTCCCTGGGCCTCACAAGAAGGCAAATTCCTCCTTTGAATTCATGATTTCTTATATCAAAAAGAAGATGGGAAATTCTAAGTATTCTCAGGCATCTCACGAACCTCAAAGCTACGTTGACTTCTATTTAGCTCACATGGATAATGTAAGCTTCCATGTTTTCATGTGCAAAACCCTCTTTGGCCTGCCTAGTTTTTTGATTCACCAAGCCCAAAACATCGACTTAGCCCAGTAAGGCAAGGAATACAAAAACTCTTTCCAACGTAGGCGCAGAAAGAGCAGAATTAAAACCAGAATTTGGCTAAACACCATTTCAAGGGAAGCCAAACTGAACTGAATTCAATGCAGTTAATGTATGTGGGTTAACACAAAAGGTGCTTTTCCCAAAAAACAGCTGGACTTGGTTTTTTTCTCTTGAAAATGTCTCTCTTCTCATCTAAGAACCTTCTGAACTGGCCTGAAGAAGTTTCTTGAATGAGATGTGAAATGTTTTCAAGGAAAAATAAAACCAAGAAAGTCCAGTTGCCTTTCGGAAAAAACACTTTTGGGATTTCCTTTTCTTGGTTTTAAAGGAGCATTTGCTGCCAAAAATGAAATAGCTCCTGGATGAATTCTAGTTGTCTATCAAGTAGTGGCAGAAAAGTTACAGTCCTCTTTTGAACAACACAAAGATGGCAATGGTGGGATTCCAATGTTTTTACTACCGGCTCTGTGGGCGGGGCTTGGTGGGCGTGGCAGGGGAAGGATACTGCAAAATCTCCATTCCCTCCCCACTCCAGGGAAAGATACTGTAAAATCTCCATTCCCTCCCCACTCCAGAGGAAGGATACTGCAAAATCTCCATTCTCTCTTCACGCCAGGGGAAGGATACTGTAAAATTTTCATTCCTTCCCCACTCCAGGGGAAGGATACTGCAAAATCCCAATTCCCTCTCCATGTCAGGGGAAGGATACTGTAAAATCTCCATTCCCTCCCCACTCCAGGGGAAGGATACTGTAAAATCTGCATTCCCTCCCCACTTCAGGGGAAGGATACTGCAAAATCTCCATTTCCTCACAATCAGCTGGGACTCGGGAGGCAGAGAATAGACGGGGCAGGGCCAGTCAGAGATGGTATTTACTGGTTCTTCAAACTACTCAAAATTTCCACTACAGAATTGGTCAGAATCTGCTGAATACCACCTCTGATAGATAGAGGCTATGGCATTGGAGGTGGAGTTCTTTTTTAACAAAGAAACCCCAAAAATGGTCTTAATAACAAAAAAGGGCAATTCACAGCGCAGGATAAGTAGTGACACATTCCAGCAGCCAGTCCGCACACTGAAGAGTGGGCCCTTCCCTTGGATGCTGTCCTGCTGGTGGAAGTGGAAAAATTTGTCGGTCAGAGTTAGGGTTTGCGGCAAGTAGGAGAAAAAACCCGAAGAGGAGGAGTTCCCTGATGTAGATAGTCCTCAACTTGCAACAGTTCTTTTAGTGACTGTTCGAACAGCTCTGAAAAAAGTGACCCGTGACCATTTTTCACACTTATGACGATTGCAGCATCCCCATGGTCACAAGATTTCCATTGGGATGCTTGACAATTGACTCAAATTTATGACGGTTGCATCGTCCCGGGACCATGTGATCCTCTTTTGTGACCTTCTGACAAGCAAAGTCACTCAACAACTGTGTTACTGATTTAAGAAGTGCCAGGGTTCACTTAACAAATGTGGCAAGGAAGGTGGTAAAATGGGGGCAAAACTCATTTTACAAATTTATCACTGAACAGCATAGATTTTGGGCTCAATGGTGGTCGTATGTTGAGGACTACCTGTATTGAAATCTATCCGAAACATTGACCTAATAAGATCAAAGGAAACGTATTGACTAGGAGAATAATTGTATGCTAAGTCAGGATTAGCAGTTTATCCTTCTATTACAAGAAAACGCCTTTCTTTTAAAGAGGCTAATGGATTCCCATTTTGAGGAATAAGGGTGTGGGGGAGGAATGCTGGCAGAGGTCCAGAATGCCTGGAGTGGATCAGCTGTGGCAGGCAGCCTACAGTGGAGTGGGCATGGCCATGTGCCTGCTGATAATACCAATAGCGCTTAGATTTATATAACAGTGCTTTACAGCCCTTTCTAAGCAGTTGACAAGGTCAGCATATTGCTTCCAACAATCTGGGTCCTCATTTTACTGACCTCGGAAGGATGGAAGGCTGAGTCAACCTTGAGCCAGTGAGAATCGAACTGCTGGCAGTCGGCAGAATTAGCCTGCCATGTTGCATTCTAACCACTGCGCCACAATGGCTGGGATAATTGTCCCCTTCTGCATGCAGATAGGACACAATATTGCTGTGGAAGATCTCTTCCTCTGTGCGTGACAGCCACTCAATGGCAGTGAAGCACACAGGATGGGTGGCAGAGAATAGCAGCGAGAGTTCTGTTCAGACCCAAAGACATTTGTGGGTGGCCATCTACAAATTTGGAATATAGTGTTGCTGGCATTTGACTCTATTTCTCCTTTCCACCTGAGAGGTCATACAGCTGCTTAACAGTTCCCTAGAGGCAGTGTTACAATGGTGGGATACGATCGGTATGCCCTGGTACAGATGTACCGGTGCCTGCTGGGAGCACCAGGTACTGTTCTGGTACGGTGCTGCAGAGGGCCCACGCGCCCATCCTACTTACCTGTATTTGATCCGATTGGGGCTTTCGCGCATGTTCACGGAACATACGGCGCCTATGCGACACTCCACCGAGCAGCTGGAGCATCGTGGGTGGTAAGTACGTCGTGAGTGGTAAGTACTGTGTGCATGCATGTGGTGGACACCCGGCCCCATTGCACCATACCGGTTGCAAAGGGATCTGGAACCCACCACTACAGTGTTAGATTAGATCAGGGGTATCACTTAACTTTGGCTCGTGCGGCCAACCTGGAAATGGCAAAGGACCCGCCTGTGGTGTCTCTTACAGCCAAAATGAGGGCAGCCCCCCCCCATGCCCCATTTTTGGCCTGGACAGTCTCCTCCAGCACTCTTCAGGCCAAAAAGTGTTTTTTTTTTTTGCTACCGGTTCAGGCAAACCAGTAGCATTTTTTGCTACCGTTTCAGGCG